AAAAAAAAAGTTCCCAGAGGGGTTTCTGTCTAGGGAGTTAGGGGAAGGTTCACTCCTTGATACAGAGTAGCGTTCCAGTGTTGTGCCTGCCCGCATCCTTGGGCAGCATGGACACCTCTGGTTGTAAGGCACCATGAGAGCAACAGAGAATTCATTCTCAGGACTTGGAAAGTACTGGGTCTTCATGGAAAGTTGAGAAACAGTCAGGCAAGCTGGAATGGTTGCTCCATCAATCCACATTCATTTAAAGTCCAAAGTAGTTTCCACAGGAATTCCAAAGTCTACTTGTATCTGCATTGGTACATCATGGCTTTTTAATATACTTGTATGTATCTCCAGTTAGATTAAGTATTTCCCAGAGCGGTCAATCCAATCTTATTTGGATAAGCAAATACCTATCAAATCCTTACTAACTGCAAGTCTACCAAGGTGTCTGTCTAGTGGGTGAAACTAACACCCACAGGAAGGGTACTTGTCTTAAGGACCCTGCAAACCAGCTGATGGGAGATCACACATGTGTCTGTACACACACACACACACACACACACACACATCTATCATTCAAGGCAGGGCATGATGAGTATGTGCATGTGTCTGTCGGGTAGGAAAGAAGATGGCTTCTGGCTGGGTAACAGCAGCAAATGCACTGTATACTGTTAACATGGGGGAAGATTTTATTACATGGACTTAATGGGTGAGGGCTGAGAAGGCATGGAGAACCTTCCAGGCAGCTGCAATCATGTCAGCCCAGACAGAGAAGGAAGAAAAAGCAGGGGTGTTGCCAGCTAGTTTCACTTCTCCGTGATTGCTTACTTACTCTTCTAGTATCTAAACTAGTAGATGGTGACAAGATCTCAGACAGCTCTGAGAGGACCTGCATCACGGGACACGTGCTTGCTGACTTGGCCATCCTCGAACAGCTGATTTGAAGGAATGGTTTTCATTCTTTCACATATTCAGCAGACATATATGTAAATATAGCTGTACCTGTACCTGGACCCATACCTGTACCACGGAGCGCACAAGGCAATGAAGAGACAATGAATACCGCACAGTCTTAGCATGAAGCTTACCTAAACCTTTACTGACCTGCCTGGGTTCCATGCTAACTTATTTTAAGTGTCCAACTCTCCATAATGAATTAAATTCTTACAAGTACCTAGTATCTAGACTGGTATTTTGCACATGACAGGAAGTCAATAAATGTCTGCATGAAAAGAGCCAAGGAGGCAGGAGCTTACCCAAGGCATCAGTAGCATTGACCTGGAGGATCAGCCAGCTGTGGGCATTCTCTTTGTTGGAGCCAAAGATGGTGAAAACAGTGCTCTTTTCCCCAGGCTCTGTGAGGAGGCCGTACACAAACACCGGCCTCTCAGAGAACAGGAACGTTTTCCAGGTCTCCCCTTCATTGGTACTGTATCTGTCCAAATGCAAATAACAGGCCCCTTGAGTTAAAGTTTCCAGGGAGCATTCTCTAGTAACAGGAAATGACTGATCCCAGCTAAAGCCTGAAAAGTTTCAGTTCTACCAGAAAACAAGAAAGTGTGCAGAGACCAATGGAGTCATCTCAGAGGACACAGGAGCCAGCTTGATGGGACTCCAACTGACCACAGTTAGGGAAATATGAACCCAAAGAAGAAAAATGATGGTCATATATTGTTATAGTCTGGATAAAAATAGGGGACGGGTCTTCAATGATCCTAAAAAGAGAGAACAAGAATGGTGGGGGAGGGCATTTTTTTCTTATATTAGAGTATCACCTAATAAATATTGAAAGAAAAAAAAATGACAGACTAAGAAAAAGCACCATTTTGTAACCCATATAGTCGTAACTGACACAGGAGTCATCAAATGCTATATCCCAGACAACAGGGACCCAAGTGATTGACATGGTCTAAAGCTACCAACCACAGACTCGGGATTCAATACAAAGTGGGAAATGTAATTTTTCAGAGACAATACCTAAGAGTCATCATGAACCAAACTTAGCATCACTGACAGTGGGAGAACCTGACATTACCATGCCTTCCGGTTTAAGCATTGATAACTATATGTTGTCTGTGCAAACGCCTACACACCTGGAAAAATCAAAAGTGGGACATTGGAAGGACAACTGGCCTGGATTCTATTTAAAAAAAAAGTCAAGGCCATGAAAACCAAACCAACCAACCAACAAAAAAGGCTCATTACAGATTAAGAGATTATAAGAGGTGTAACAACCAAATGCAATGTGCATTTGACTGAATTCTGGATTGGGGGATGGGGAGAGCAGTTATAAATACTAGGGGACAATTGAGAAAATAGAAATAAACTTTATAAATAATAACGAGTTCCTATTATTCTTTTCAGTGTGATAACAGCATTGTGGTCACGTAGAGGAATGCTCCTAATTCACAGGAGACACATGTGTAAGTACTTAGCTGCAAGAAGCATGAGATCCATAACTCTGAAATGATTCAGGCAAAAGAAAAGACAGAAGATTGCTACACAGACAGATACCAAATCAGTCAAATCTTAACAAATGATGATTCTTGGTGAAGGTTATATGGGTATACTTTATACATGTCTTCCAACTTAAAATAAAAAACCAGTAAGTAGTGAAGAAATGTAGTCAGCATTTATTTATATGTCCTGAAAATTGTACAAGACAGTGAGCCCTTGATAAAAATAATGTAAGGAATTATACCAATTTTAGACTACCTTTTGTATTGAAGGGAAAAGAGGAAAAAAGTCCTGGTACTTGCTTCCTCACACTGCTAGCTGGTGAGATGTTTGGCATGAGAAACCATTCAGCTAGCGCTTTATTGAGGATCACAGAACTACTACGTTTCTCTCTGTTGTTTTTGTTCTTAAGTTCCAACCCATGGCGACCCTGTATAGGGTTTCCAAGGAGCCACTGGTGAGTTTGAAGGTTGAGTTTCAAACTGACCTTGCAGTCCAGCGTAAGTTTTCTCACAAATCCTAATTATTTACCAAATCACTTTTCTTTCACCCTCACATGCTGTTGAAATTTTACTTTTACTCTCTCAGGATTCTAATACTTGACATAAATCCTTCACAGTATCACTTCATCCAAATATTTCCACAAAAAGACTAAGGGGTTAAAACAAAAGTGGTGAGGTTACCAGGCAACAATGGTCAAACTCTCATCTGGCTGGTATATGCTTTTGGTTTAAGCTAGTTATCAACATTAATCCTAGATCTGGGCTAAGTTAACTCACTCACCGCCTCCTTCTGTTAGTGTGAAGAGATCAAGGTTTAGTACCACTTTTAGAGCACAGGGACCCAGCAATGTGGGTATAGTAATCAGACACGAGGGGAGCCGTCCATCTGCATATCCATCTCTTTGTGCGTTGCCTACTTAATGCTATTTAAGAGCTCCTCTGATTGACAATGACCTCAAGAAATGAGTCATCCTATTTCTTGAGAGGTAACAAGAATGCATTAATGAGACTAACAACCAGGTGCACAGACAAACACAGTCTTGTACCTGATAATAAATTAGTCATTTAGAAAATGGTGCTTTTTCAGAATACCAGGAAAAGGGCAGTCACATTACCAAATGTAACAGTTATATGAACAGCTATTCTGGACCGTATTCTGACCACTAAAAGAGAATGTATACAGGTGAAGTAAAAGTGTAAGAACTTTGCAAGAAAATAAACTAAGACATCATCATATTCCTACAAGTCATGAAACAGGATATAGGGCACTAAACTTTACGAAAGGTGAAGTCAAAATGCTCAGATAAAAAAATCAAAGCATAGTCAGACTGCAAAGTCATTTGAAGTTCAAGGTCGGTGGTTCAAACTCACCAGCTGCTCCTTGGAAACCCTGTACATGAGTCAGAATTGACTAGACGGCACTGGCACTTAACAACAACAACAATAAAAGACAATATTTATACTTAAATGGTTATTGAAGTGTGTAAGTACAAAACTAAGATACAATCTATTTTTCATTATATGGATATATTTTCAACTAGATTCTTAAACCCTTGTGGTAGGATTAATGTTGTATCTCCCAGAATTTGAATCCCTGGACGGTGCAAATAGTTAACTCACTCAGCTATAAACTGAAAGGTTAAAGGTTTGAGCCCACCCAGGGCACCTGTGAAGAAACGGCTAGCAGTCTACTTTTGAAAACTCAGCCACTGAAAATTCTGTAGAGCCTAGTTCTGCTCTAACATAGACAGGGTCTACAGGAGTTAGAACTGACCCAACAGCAACTAGAGAATTTACTTCTGAATTTATCACAAGGCTCTAGGCCTAATTCTTCATTAACATTTTCCATTTAGCTTTTTTATTCCTTCACATTCCTACGTTTGAGTTTAGAATGGTTGTGTACATGCTTATCACTGCTTACCAAAAATAAATATTATGACACTCCCCCCAAAAATCAAAGCATAATCATATGGTCAAAACAGATCTCAAGAGGAAGAGGAATGCCACATATACAATTAATGGAATTACGCTGCTGGATAAGCACTGGACTAACTGCAAATTGGAGGTTCAAACCCATCCTTTATTCCTTGGAATTACTCTAAATTGGAACTGACTTGAAGGCACTTAATAAAAATATCCCACTAAATAGAGAAAGAGATAGTAGACACCCACCCAACTCACGCCATTAGTGGTATTTAATGAGCTCAATTTTTAAAGACCATGTTCAATGGGGAGAAAGTCATATATTCATATATTCAATATATATGAATATATTCAAAGGCCAAAAAAATGAAAGAGCAGCAGTAATCTGTGAGAATATTGTTCAAGCAACTAAACTTAAAATGAGCCACAGATTAAGATTCAAATGACCAACTTAATTGGTAGATTGATGGATTGGCTAGCTGCTAAATTCTATAATTAAAAAGGAAAAATATCCTTGTTCTGATGACCAATGGTTTAAATAGTAATAGATAGCAAAAAGGCAGAAGCACTCAATTTCTATTTTGCTTTTATCTTTATCAGTGTAAATTATGTTCAAAAGGACAAAGCAGAAAACAATTAAACAGTTAAGTTCAAGGAAAATGAGTACAAAATACATTCTAAGAAACTGAAAGAGTTGAACGACTAAGAAGTTCCTCTTAGTAATCTCTAAACAAATCATGGAGGTCAAATAAAGATCTATACCATTTGAAAAGGGAAACATTATTTAATATTCCTAAAGGAGAAAAGTTGATTTTAAGACTGGATTATTAAAAAGCTGACTTGAAAGCACTGAGAAAAGAAAGAAGTAAAGGCTGGGAGACACATTGTGGTTTCACACACTAGTCATGTTGGTTCTTGATTTACAGAAAAGAATGATATAGAGGGCTCTTTTTTCAGGAAAATCTTTGTAGACCATGCAGTTGGTTACGATTTACTTAGACCTAGGGCATCTGGTTTTTAATAAGCATCCATACAAAAAAGGGATCTCTCTGGGTTTTCAGTTAAAAATCAATTTGGTCTCTGATGATGATACACGTTATAGCATAAAAAAAATCTCAAAAACATTATGCTGCGATTTAGTTATGAGCAAAAGAAGCCAAATACAAAAAGTATGAACTTTCTGATACTACCTATATAAAATTCTTTAGTAAGCAAAACTAATCTATGATGGTATAATCAGGCTAGGCTGGGGATTCTGTAAAATAGAAGGAAAATGTTCTACACCATGACATGCATCCTTCAGAACTGATTAAATGGTGGATTTAAAATCTGAGCATTGTGCGATATTGTAAATGATTCATCAGGAGTCCTGGTGGCACGGTGGTCAAAGTTTGCCTGCTAACCAGGAAGTCAGCAGTTTGAACCTACCAAGTGCTGCCCTGTGGGAGAAAGATGAGGCTGTCCGCTTCTGTAAAGATTCACAGCCTTGGAAACCCTATGGGGGCGGGGGGGGGATGCTTCTACTCTGTCCTCTAGGGTTGCTATGAGTTGAAGTTAACTTGAGGGCAGTGGGTTTAAATGATAACGTCAATTTTACAAAAGCAAATTTAGTAGGATACACCAGTTTAAGATGGCTGCCAAAAATGTAAACAAAATCTTAGGGGATTTCTTTTTAAGAGTAATCAAGTGTCCAGAACTATATGGGTATTACCCAATGTCCTGCATCAGTTAGACAATTCAGACCCCACATTTTAAGGCACTGACATGAGGTATACCTAAAGCCAAACCTATCTGACAGAGCTGCAGGCATCTAGGGCACTTGAGGAACGGAAGTGAAGTATTGGCCATGGAACAGAAAACACTGAGGAGAACATGGAAGCAGTCCTCAACTATCTGAAAGGCTTTCACGGGAAAGAAGAAATGTCTGCTTTGAAAAGAACGTAGGCCACTGAACAAAAGCTAAAGTAAGGAGAATTTGCTCTCTCCAACTTGAGAACTTGCGATCATGAGTGAATAAAGGAACAAACTGTCCCAAACTGAAATGGAAACTCCT